GATCTGGGAGCATCATCTACATAGAGTTGATAATTGAACCCACGGGAGCTGATGAGGTCACAAAGAGGGGAAGTATAGAGAGAGAAAAGAAGAGGCCCCAGGACACAGCCTTGGGTTATAATTAGGGGCAGGGCCTGGGTGATGGTCCAGCAAAGCAGATTGAGAAGGAGCAACCAGACAGGTAGGAGAATGGAAGTAGTGTCAGGAAAAGCCAGCAAGGAGAGTTCATATAGGAGTAAAGGATATCGGATGCTTGCAGAATGGTCCAGAAGAATGATGATTTATAAAGGACAATTCATTATGTTTTGCAGTTATAGAAATGTGAGATATTATTAGGAGATAGGCACTAGACTTATTATTTCATTGGTTTGGGAAATTTCTGCTTGTTGAAACTAACTCTACCCATACAGATCAGCCTTTTCTCTGAAACTTGTAGTCTCAGAGTAAGGGTCCTTAACTTGGAGTCCATAGACTCCTAAGGGGTTTATGGATATATTTTGAAGGATCTATGAACTTAGGTGGAAAAAAAAATTACATTTGAATTTTCACTAACCTCCAGGGGAGTAGTTGTTTAACAACCATCTCTCTGAAACTGCATGATACACTTTAAAATTTAATCTGCATTAGTAACATTTTCCCCACAATTTTCTTAAATTTAGATAATCAATAAAACAATAAATCAAACTCCAATTTTTAACATTTGTAGATTTCTGTAGTGTAAATGCTCACACTGAAAATTTAACAATCTGCTCTCAGGAGCCCAGATAAACTGGCTCCAACACACCCCCGCAAACTTTAATGGAAATTTAGCATAAACTTTAAATATTAATTAAAAAAAATATTCTGAGAAAGGGCCCATAGCCTTCATCAGATTGCCAAAGGGGTCTAGAACACAAAAAGGTAGGATACCCTTGTTTTTGAGAGTTGTCTAGAGCGCTGAGAGATTAAATGTTAAGCCTAGGGTTACATAGCCAGTATATATCAAAGGTTGGATTTGAACCCAGCTTTTATCCCTGATATGTCACAATCCCTCTTGAGCTACTGTTGTTGCCAGTAGCCACCACCACCACCACTACTACTATTACTACTACTACTGCTACTACTACGACTACTACTACTACTACCACCACCACCACTACATTATTACTATTACTACTATGATTATTATTGTTTTGGGGCCTGGATAACTGAAGCTGTGGGAGGCCCTGGTAACCAGTGAGTAGCTGATTATAGACTTATAGTCTTCTTCCCTCCTTGAGGGTGTATGTAGAACGTAGTGTGGGCGCCTCCAGAAGCATTGCCTCCTTTCTAAATAAAAACTATCTAGAGTCTTCTCTTTGAGAGAAAGTGTGTCTTGTGTGGGTATGTGAGAAGATTAACAGTCTATTCAGTATTGTGTCAAGCTCATGTAGTGATCCTAGGGCAATGCTGGCATTAGAACAGATTGTGGACAGGTACCATAGGAAAAATGTGAGGTCTGGAATCTGAAGACCTGATTATAAATCCTCATCGGCCTCATCTGTTAAATGGGGGGAAATTTGCCAAGAGGAACTGGATTAGATAATGTCTTGGTCCATTCTAGCATTATGTTCTTGTATGGTCCATGTTACCTCAGGAAGATGGGCAGAAAATCAAGTCAGAATCATAGGAATTTTGGGTCTGGGAAGGACCTAGAATATAAAAAGCTAGAAGTAGCTGGGTGGCACAGCAAATAGAATCTTAGACCTGGAGTCAGGAAGACCTGAGTTCAAATCCTGCCTCAGACACTTACTAGCTATGTGATCCTGGGCAAGTCACTTAACTTGTGTCTGTCTCAGTTTCCTCATCTGTAAAATGGGGATAATAATAGCACCTACTTCCCAGGGTTGTTGTAAGGATCAAATGAGATAACTTTTGTAAAGTGTTTTGCAAACCTCAAAGTGCTCTATAGATACTAGCTGTTATTATTCTTGTAGCCCATCGCCCCAGTTGGTAAGCTGCCTATGTGCTTGTTAAATTGAAGGAAACTGAAAGTTGTTCTTTCCTCCACTCCACAAGAGATGAGATAATATTTGTAAAGAGCTTTACAAACTTTAAAGTTCTATATAAATGGTAGCTATTATTGTTATTATTTAACCCAACCCTCTCATCTGACAGATGAGAAAACTAAGTCCCAGAGAGGAAAAATAATTTGGCTGGAATAATGAAACAAGTTATTGGTAGAAATATAAAGCTAGAAATCATATCACTTGACTTGTAGGTGGGTATTCTTTTGCTTCCACTTAAGTACTGAAGAAAAGTCCTAACATAAGGTAGTGACAAGAACAGACAAAGAAAACAGCATTTTTTAGAAAAGGAAAAGGGAAAGTAGTAAAATCATCAGAGGGTCCAGGGAATGGGTTAATCCCTTAAAACAGAAAAGAAATGATTGGCTTGAGTTGGCGGATACAATTGGAGCAATTAGAACAATTAAGAGGAAATATTCCACCCCTCTCCCCAAAGGAATTCACTATCAAAATTAAATGCAATAAATGGGCTTTTTAAAGGAACCTGGGTGTCTAATTTTCTGACAGATAATAACATTGTCAGAGGAAGATAATAGTAGACCTATTGAAGATCATATCTTGGAGTCTAAAAGTCCATTTAGTCCTTAAGGCTGAACTAATGGGAAATTTAGATTTATTCCAAGGGGTCAAGGTATTAAAAAGAAAGTTGACAAACAAGAATCTTGAAAACAGAGGAGGCTGATTTCAACTGCTTACTAGAAACTAATCCTTCTAAGGGCAGAACTAACTAAAGAGTGAGGCTACAAGTCATGTTTCAATAGTACTTTAAGATTTACAAAGCTCTTTCCTCAAAAAAACCCTGTGAGGAAGGTTGTTTTTGTTGTTGTTCAATTGTGTCCAACTCTTTGTGACCCCATTTGGGATTTCCTTGGCAAAGATACTGGAATGATTTGCCATTTCCTTTTCCAACTAATTTTACAGATGAAGAAACTGAGGCAAATTGGATTAAGTGACTTGCCCAAGGCCATGTAGCTAGTAAGTGTCTGAATTTGAATTTGAACGCAGGTCTTTCTGACTCCAGGACTGGTACTCTAACCATTATGCCATCTAGCTGCCTTCACGAAGAAAATAGAAAAGAGACTGTTATCATCCCCATCCTTCAAATTAGGACAAGGAAGACCAGAGAGAGAAAGTTAACTTATCCAAGATCATACAGCTAGTATCAGAACTCCCTTTGTCAATCTGGTGAAATCTATAGACCCCTCCTCAGAATAATATTTTTAAATGCACAAATTAAAATAGAAACTAATTTCATTGAAATAGTTATAAAAATATATTAAAAATAAATTTACAGGCCCCTCAGGTAAAAAAAAACTTGCTTTGATAATAATAATTATTATTGTAACTATTATTATTATAGCTAGCCAGACACTGTTGTTAATCACTTTGCAAATATTATCTTACTTAGTCCTCAGAAAACAACTCTGGGAGGTTGGTGCTATTATTGTCCCCATTTTATAGTTGAGGAAACTGAGGCAAACAGAGTTTAAGTGACTTGCCTATAGCCACATAGCTAGAAAGTATCTAAAGCCAGATTTGAACTCATACTCATAACTAGTGCTTGCTCCACTGTGCCACCCAAAAACTCACAATTAAGTATCTATGGGCTACTGAAGCTGCCTCCACCAGAAACTATGGAGTACATTCAAGGAAGGATCTTCAGGAATACAGTATAAACCCAAAGAATCTCTTTTGGTCTGCAGCCATCCTTGAGTGTTAAACAGGGAGATTCATTAACAGGCCATAGAAGTTCAGGGGTGAGGTGATTAGAGCCTGAATTTGGAGCAGCCATATAAGTATTGTTTGTCGTTATTATTGAAGAGGACCAATAATATCAAGAGGGTGATGTCTTGACTTGCAAGTGAGTTGGGTTTAAGCGAGGCAGAGATGTGCAAAATCGTCAACCTTACACTCTCCTCCAAAGTCATCGGGCTCCAGTGGCAAGACAGAGGTCAGGACAACTGGTGATGGCCCCGGTTGTAGTGGAAGACCTTGGCCTTTTTAAGCTGAGGTCTTTCCCATGTCTCAGTTATGAGTGTAGAGAAGAGATGGTTGCAAAATATACTGTGGAGATAGAAATGACAAGATTTGACTACCTGTTGAATGTGTGGGATGAGGGAGAGTGAAGAGTCAAGATTAATACCAAGACTGCTTTTCCAGTAGCAATTTTGAATGCAAACGTGTATATTATATATACATTTAATGTATAGTGTGCAGGCACTGTGCTAAGCACTGGGGATACAAATAGAGAAGGGTGATCTAGTCCCCACCCTCAAGGAGCTTATATTTTAACAAGAGAAAGAGGTGTGGTAGCCAGACAAAGGGGCAGTTAGTTGATATGTTCTCACCAGAACCAACTGATTTGCTTACTATGTCCTGACCAAAAAGTAGAAAATGGGGAGGACATTGATTGAGGTGGAGGTGGGTAATGAGGCAGAGGGAAAGTAGCAGACATGGCCTGAGTGGGATAGATGGATGGGATGAGAATCTGAAAGTCCCATCTAAGTGTATGGAACCATTTAGATACAGTGTGGTAGGTAAGTTTGCATTCACTCTGTCCTCAATCAAGACAGCTCCTTAAGGTCAAGGACTTTCCCAGTACCTAACACAGGGCCTGGTACAGAGTAGGTGCTTAATAAGTATTGAATGCATAAACCCTAGACGGAACCACCCTAGAGAAATTTGGAACTTCTGACTCCTGCTCAGACACTTAACCCACTCTTCTTAGGTTGATGACAGTTTCTGCCAGGGTTGATGATAGCTTGCCAAATATTATAGATTCTGTCACTACCGCTTCTGGGCCCCTTGCCAAAGAAGGAAACCTGTAATTTCTGTGAGAGTCTGTGTTCATCACCTAGTGTGTGAGTCACCCACTATTTGACACCCCATGCCCCACCTTCCTCATTCCCCTGCTACTAGAATCATTCCCAAGGAATACCAGTCCATCAAGATACAGCTGTGTATGCCCACATGTGTGTGCCTGCTTGACTTTGTGTAGTACTTTTGTCTGGACAGCTCAGATCAGACCAGGAACCTGCCTTTAGAGCAGGAGGGATGGCTTCAAGAAACAAGATTTCTGGTTGTTCACTCCAAACAAGAGATGATAAGAGGTGAAGGGGAAGGAAGCAACTGACTGCTGAAATTTTCTGTCTTTTCCCAGACTGTGAGTAGCATCCCTTTACTTTTCTTGCCTCAGTGCCTTTTTTGGATAAAAATGGGTACAAGGAGAACCTAATTATGTGATACCACTATGGTACAACTTTGAGAAATTGATATTTAATTATATGCATAAAATCGTATTTGTCCACAAACATTAACAGAGAATTGGAACACTTTGAAGCAACTTCTAAGGACTGATCAAGAGCATCCTTTATGATCCTCTGTCCCTCCCCTCCCTCATTAGAACTCAAGAGTTCTATTGCCTCGTTTTCTTTTCTTTCATCTTGTGTCACACCACCTCCCAATTTCAGAGAATTGAGGCCATGGAAGGATGTGAGATATTTTTGATGACCACCAAGTGACAAAGTGCAAATTGAGAAGATAATCAGCCTGGTTTGTTACTTTGCTCCAAATAGGCCACCAAAGGGTGTAACTTCTCCCCTCCACAATCTTAGCTCATTATCAGAGAATCATAAGGCTAAAAGACACATTGAGAAGTGATGGGATATTGACAGATTAACCTTTGGACAAGATTACACAAACCACCCCAAATAGAATAGATGAAAATATCTCTCTCTCTCTCTCTCTCTCACATTCTCTCTCTCTCTCTCTCTCTCCTCCTCATCTTCCCTCTCCCCTCTCCATTCTCCCTTTTAAAGATCATCAGGGTAGCAAGTCCGCATTGCTCCTTAGTAGCCTGTGGTCCTTCCAATCCTTGTTTTCAGGAAATCTTTCCTCTATTCAGATTTTCCCCCAAAAAGAAGTTGGGACCTAATTGATAGGACCAGAAATCTAGAACAGCGAGCCATCAGTCTAATGTTCTCATTTTGCAGATGAGGAAAACGAGGCCTAGAGAAGTAATGGATTTACCCAAAGTCCCACAGATAGTTAATACCATAGACCTCCTTTTCCCTTGGTTTATAAACCTAGCTTCACATTCTATTTATTTTAGAAGAATCTAACTTAGAGGCAGTGTGGTGTACTGGGGTAGAACTCTGGATTCTACCCAGTTAAGAGATCTGGGTCCTGGTTTTGGGTCTAGTCTAGTTCCAGCCTGTCATGAATTAATTGTGTGATGTGCAACAAATCACTTAAGTGATGTAGGTGAGCTTAAGTTTCCTCACCTGTAAAGTGAGGGGCTTAGAAGGGATTCTAAGGCCCCTGCTAGCACTATCATTCTATGAGTCTATATCTCAGGTTAATTTCACTTAATAAATCCCTTAAACTCTTGTTTGCACCTGAATACATAGAAGTTCAAGCATAACCCTGCCTTTGTTCAAAGTATCGTGTTGTCAGACTTTTGTAGCCTTTCCATTTCAGACGGCTAGCCTCTTTGTCAAGCCGAGCTGCTGTCCAGTGGTGTAATGATATACCTCCTTACTTCTCTTACAGTAAATGTTTAGATTAAGGGAAAGATAAAATTTTCTAGGGTCAAAGATTTGGAGCTAGAAGTGACCTTAGAGGTCATTGAGTCCAACCTCTCATTTTATGGATGGAGAAAACGAAGCACAGAGATTAAAGGACTTGCTCAGAATCTCATCTTTTTAGCTTTTGTTTTCTTTTAGTTTATAGAAGGCCAATGTAGGTATTTTTCAGTGGAATATATCCAAACATATTAAAATGTAGGTTTGGAAGGTTGCCAAGTTTTCCATTTCAGACCAACTTGAGCCAAAAGTCTTCTTCATCAATTGCTTGTTATATCCACACTCTCTGTCTTTCTAAATAATTATATTACTGAGCCAGGGGTGGGGAGCCTGTGGCCTCGAGGCCACATGTGGCCTTCTAGGTCCTTGGCTATGGCCTTTTCACTGAGTCCAAATCCTTTTATTAAGGAGATTTGGTCTGTGAAGTTTGGATTTGGTCAAAGGGCCATACTTGAGGACCTAGAAGGCCACATGTGGCCTTGAGGCCACAAGTTCCCCACCCCTGTGGGACTGTACCTTACTTTTGGCACAGTTTGTAATTGTACCTTTGTGCACTTATCACATTCTGCCTTGTGTCGTAATTATTTATGTCATTTTATCCATTAGATTATGAGCTTCTTATAGGCAGAATCTTTATCATAGCTCACCTTAGTATCCCTAGTAGTCAAGGCAGTTAGTGTTTATTGAACTCAGTTTTATTATCCTCCATGAAGCAAGCAACATTTCTAGAAGTTATACTTTTTTTATTCTCTCTTTCTCTCTTTTTCTTTTACATTTTAGTAATTCCTCATCACTTCTACCCATTGAATCCTCCCCTGCAACAAAGAAATAGTTACACAATACTCAATCAACAAATGACCTTATCTGACAGCATATGTATCAATCCCACCTTAAAGCTCTCTACCTTTTAGCTGGAAAGAGACAATCATCCATCCATTATCTGTTGTTTGAGACCAAGATTGGGCAACACAATTAATGTGAATTTGATAGCCTTTTAGTTCTGTTTTTATTTTCATTATTGCTGTCATTATGTATATAGTCTTGGTTTTGTTTTCTTCATTCTGCATTGATACCTATAAGTTTTTCTGTGTTTATCTGAATTCTTATATTCATTATTTCTTATGGGGTAATAATATTCCATTACATTAATTTACCGCAATTTATTCATCCATTCATCAATAGATGAAGTCCTATTTTGTTTACACTTTGCTTTTTAATGAGGCATAAAGAGTTGGAAATCCAGTGCCTTCCCTGGTCACAAATATAGAATATGTTCCAAAAAACTAAATTAGTGGCATCAAGTGTGGTGATACTGAAGGCTATCATTGCTTATGGTGCCCATTTCTCAAGTGGTGACTACTTCAAAAGAATGCAACAATGAGAACATTGTTCTTGATTAAACCAGAAATATATCTATTGCTTAAAGCAAATATAGTGTCATCATAAACCTATCTTGTAGTAGGTTGGGTTTCCATACTTGATTGATATCAAGCCATAATTTATCATCTGTTTGTGTGAAAGGCCAAAAAAGACCCTAGTCATTCCATTTCAGTTTAAAAACAAACAAAAAACCAGAGACAGTATTTAGGAATGTCAGCATATAATATAAGTCACTCTGCCCCACCTCTCCAAAGGTCCCACAACTATAGCCGTCTCTCAGAAACTGTGATTATGGAATCACAGGCTATAGATCTGGAGAAGACCTTGGATATCACCAGACCCCTGATTTTACAGATGAGGAATCTAAGCCCATTTTCACCTGAGTAAAAATAGTGGCAGCAGGGCTGTGTGTGTGTGTGTGTGTGTGTGTGTGTGTGTGTGTGTGTTTATGGAAGGGAGGTGCCTTATACAAGATGACTTATACATAATTAGTGATACTATTAGGGATGACTTTGCCCATACATTTTAAGGGTGGTATAGTGGATAGAATGATAAACCTGGAGTCAAGAAGATCTGAGTTCAAATCTAGACACAGACATTTACTACGTGACTCCGAGCAAGTCACCTAACCTTTGGGGCTTTAGTTTCCTTATGTGAAAAATGGGGATAATAAAATTGGGGGAAAACCCCCTAAACCTTCCAGGGTTGTTATAACAAGTGAGATAATAATTGTAAAGTATTAAGCATGATGCCTGGCACTATTATTATTAAAATGCTTTGCAAACCTTAAAGCACTATATAAATGCTAACTATCATCAACATTATTATTCTGGTAACCCATGGACCTAGTGGATAGCTGCCTATGAGCCTGTATTAACTAATCTGAAGGAAATTGAAAGGTCCTCTTCCTTCCCTTCAACCGAGGCATCTTCACCACTAGCCTGTGGTGGTGCCTGAAATTCCTAGAATCTGATTTTAAAGGATTTTTTTTTAAATGGAATGTAAGAGGATTAAAGTTAAGGTATCACCTTAACACTTAAACAGTCTATTTCTGATCATCCTTTCCCTCTCATTGTCTCCTAGAAGACTGTAAAATCTTAAAGGTTGCCATTTATAAGGTAGATGTCTGGGCCCTTCTTTGGGAGAATGGGAGAGACAGTCTTCTCGTCAGCTCCAATAAGGCACTTGCTTGCAAGTCCCCCATTAGTCCTGGGTAAGGAGGGAAGGAGGGTTTGGTTGAAGCAGCTGCTCTAGGTCAAGCCAGGATGAAGGGTTCCCCAATACTTCCTTAGCTCTGTATCTCCTTCTGAGTCTTGAAGGGCAAGTTGCTCAATCCTTAGGGGATGTTTCTATGGGCTAATGCAATGATAAAATAGGGGGTTCTGAGCCTGGGGTGAGGGGGTCTCCAAAAGATACCAATTTTTTATCTTTAATTGCCTTTTTCTAAAGTGTATTCCAGTTCCACCTGTCCTTGCATGCCAGAATGCCATCTGTCTTTGAAACCATCAGCTTGAAACTTGGCTGGGGTGACCTGCTTTAATGCAAAACAGCTAGCTAGAATTTCTGACTCAAAAGCCAGAGGTGGTGTACCAGGAAGAAACCACAACTTTGAATATGGTGGGGTTGTCCTTGTTTGCTTCGTCACTTGGTCTCCCTGATTGCAACATGGATACTTCCCTCTTTTCACTGTGTTCCTTGCCTGACTGCTCAGAGAAAAATAGGAATTTGCTACTTAGACTCACAGAAATCTCAGCTTTGGGAGGGATCCCAGGAGGTATCTACTATGTTTTATAACTGACCAAGAATTGCCTCTATGATATCGTAGAAAAGTAATCATTCAACCCATTTTCCACTTGAAGACCTCTGTTTTTGGATAGTTCTACTTATTAATTTTGTTGTAATTAAATTTTATTTTTTAAATCAACAAAATCTGCCTTCTCTTCCTCCCACTTCCCTACTTCCAAACCTTACTGAGAAAACAAGAAAACAAAGTCCCCATTACAAACAAGTATGGAGGAGCAAAACAAATTCTTGCATGGCCAAATGGCCAAAAAAAAAAAAAAAAGTTTCAGTCTACACTCTAAATCTGTCAGCTCTGTCTCTGGAAGTGGATGACATTTTTCTTCATGAGTCCTCTGGAATTTTGATTGGTTATTGGTTTGATCAGAGTTACTAAGTCTTTCAAAGATGTTTGTCTTTA